CTGATGCCCTTTACTTCCAAAACAAGAACCCCGCGGTGTTGTCGCACTGTTTGGGGACTTTACACACCCAGAATCGTGTTTTTCAGGCATGTGCGGGTAGACCCTCCAATGTTGCGGGTGCGGTTGCTTGTGATTGTGAGGATTGTGAGGGCGGCCTGTCTCCCAGGATGGTCCTGCTAGAAACCGAGGTGGTATCCCGACCTCCATCCAGACTCGAGCTTGGAGCACTTCCAGGCGGTGGTCTACCAGGACAACCCTGGCAAGTGCCGACAGCCCAGCCTGAAACGGTAGAATGCTGAGCTCTCTGCCAGCATTTCGCTGGAATTAAAGCGCAATCTCTCTGCAGATGGAATTATGGCTTTAGCATAGTTCGAGGATTCTTAGGCGTGGTTCGTTCCCGGAGCATAGCCAGGCTGAGGGGATCTTGGGGGCGGGTCCACAAGCGTGTACACGCGCGATTGTCTTCAGGCTGCACGCGCCCTTAATTGGGCCCAAAAACCCATGTGACCCCTCGGCCGAAATCTATGTCACGTTGTATCCTGAAGCAATCAAAACCTTGTACAAACAAAGCCTAAACCCAGAACGCTGAAGCAACGCAGCTAAAGCTCGAGAACGAGTGTTCCGAAAGTGTATAAAGCAGCGAGGTAACGCCGAACATCACATCATCCATCCCTCCCTCCGTCCCTCCCATCCTGCACACATCCAGCCACCCACCCACCACCTAGCCAGCCAGCCATCCATCTACCCATCCATCCACCCATCCCCCACAATGTACTGGCGGAAGCTGCGGGACACGCCCGGGATTGCTGTGATTTCGAGACCAACGTGAGCCAATCAAAGTATCGGAATCTACAATGGATCGTGCTTTTACCGGAGAGCACAAACCTTAAGGCCAAACATTGAAGACTTCAGATCATGCCATGCAATGCAAGCTCCCGACAAACGAAGAGGCAACCTGACATCATCATCACATCGTCGTCATCATCATCATCATCATCACCATCATCATCATCATCATCAGCTCATTATCATCACATCATGCCATCCAAAACACCTGGAAAGACACTTCGCGACGCTTTCGGCAACAAAAAGCTGGTTAACGCGTCAGCACTAGCTAGGAAAGTGGCGTCAGAAACCAGTGCCCCAAATCCCTACACCGTAAGCCGTCCTTAGTGCCACAGCCAAACCCCAAACCTTGAACCACCATAAGCACAATTGGAAAACCGCGTGCCTTGAGAAGGCACTGGAGGACTTTGAAAGGCGCTGGGATATTTGGCTCTGGGACTAGGGACTCTGGGGATGGCTGCAGAGAAAGCACCTCGGAGGAGTGAGGGGGTTGGACCCGTGTCCCATGTGAGCAAAACTCGGGCTTGGGGTTTTCATACATCAGTGCTGACGTCTCGCTGTTGTTCAACGACGCCCATCGACTCAGATTGAGAGGATTGGCGGGGTTAGGGAGGTTTGGGTTTAGGAACCCCTTCTCAGAGCCACCTGGCCCACAGCTTGTTGACGAAAGGCTCCAACACGCAAGACTGCCCACACCCACCTGGCCACCAAAACTTTTCCTGCACTATTGGTTTTCCGGATTGTTTCATCCTGTTTTGTATATTGGTTTCAGAATCTCGGACCCTGTATTGTCGCCTACGACCTTTCGATATTTGTTCTTGAATTTCGCCCGGCGTTGGAAGTTTACACGTTGTTTAAGGCTTCTGCATAGGTTTGCGCCTTAAGGCTTGGGTGGGTTTGGAGCCCCAGAGTTGCACAATCGGGCTTACGGTTTTTGCCTCAGGGTTCTTCTTTGCTTCCTTGCTGTCTTCTGAGCGTTGCTTCTTTTCGAGCCTTTGCCAGGATTTTGAATTTAATTTGTCTCTGTTGGTTTCCAAATTCAACACTGGAGTCAATTAGGTACTGAGTTTTCGTTTCTGGCTGAACTGGTTCGCAGCCCATCGCTTGGCAAAGCACCTTTAAACTGGCAGAACGGTCCAAGAATCAACAAGAGGGCAGGAAGCCGATGACACTGCACACATGCAAGAAGAAGTGACGCTGCAGCAAGCACAGACCACGCAAATTCCACCGCGTCCAATAATCGGCCGGAGATGTCGCCAAGCGCAATCAATATGTTGCACAGCACAAGCCACTCAGAATGAACAAGAACCAAGGTCTCCAGACTTCCCCACCAGTCATGCATGAGATGTGTGCTGGGGTGGCTTGCTCTGAAGACTGATGCTCACAATGCACGCTTTCGTTTGGCCGTCAGAACCTAAACCCCGCCTCGACCCTCACCTCAAAAAGAGTGGCGGGCCCTCAAGAGGGAAAGACCTCAGCCGTGAAGCCGTGGGCTGAAAGGAACGAAAGTCCCGAGGCACAGAACCGAACAATTTCCACCGCATCCCCATCAGCCATCATCAGCCCATCGGGCCCTGAGCGACTAGGTGCCAGTCCCTCACGTACTCTCTCACAGCACAAGACAACAAGCCGTCCATAGCAACGCAGATCGCCACAGGCCCGAAGCCCTGCGGCGTTGCCGTGGCGCCCGTGTCCGCCAGTCCCGGGCCCATGGAGGCGACTGTGGGGACAGCATTCAGTTGGATCGGGTTGATGCCATCGCAATCCAACATCAACATCCCACCTGCTGGCAGAAAGCAGATTTTGTTAGTCCTCGCCAACATCCAGTGCATCATGTATCCGGCTTCATCATGTATCTCGGTAACCGGCCGCCTGTCACGATGGCAAATTTTCACAACGATGTACTTGCCACCATCCATCCAGTACCCACTGCGTGCGGTACTGGAGCTGGCAGTGGGTCCTAGCTTCGCTGAAAACGGCGACCCTTCTCATGTCGCCGGGTCAGGATGGATCCAAGTTCTCCGTCGAAGTGTGCGGTGCTCAGCTGACAATGCTTTGTGCAGTTCCGAAGGATGCTTGGCAAGTTTTGGTCTGTCCGTTTTCAGGACCGTCTGCAGTCAAAGATCTCTCACCTCTCCAGGCTGAACCGCGCTCAGGGCTCCGATGGTTGCCTCCTGGAGCCCCAGACGGAGTACTCGGTGCAAGGGGGTTGGTACCAGAGCCCCGGCCGCGCTTTGGTCTCTCACATCAGCCGATGAAAGCCGAAGTCTTTCACACTACGTGCTTGGCAGAAGACTCACAGCAAAACCGGGGGCCGTATCTGAGGATGAGGAAAGGCGTCCAGGAGACCGTCTTCGGGGCTGTGATGGGCCATGATGGGCTGTGCTGTCGCTTCGGTGTGCCCCCAACTCCGCACTGGTGCCGACAGGATCCCCGGGTGTGCTGCCAACTCTGTGAACAGCAGGGGCAGTGCAAAGCCTGGCCGCTCTGAGCAGAAAGGAGAGGAAGGAGAGGTCAAAAGGGATGAGGCTTGCAAATGCTTGCAAGCTGAAAATAGGGTAGTTCGGGCAGTGAGATTCCTGTGACCCAGGAAGTGGACGGACTGGTCTGCGGAGGCCAAGGACTTTGCTTGCTTCCTGAGCCAAGGCGCAGTGACCAGCACCTTGTCCGAAAGAGAGGTCGTATGTCTCAACTTTGCGCAATGCTCACCAACATGGTTCTCATCGCATCTCATGGCTGTTCTGTCACCTTTGTGCAGTCGCTTGCTGCGTTTCCTTCGGCTTTCTTCCCCGCGACCGACCACTGCCCATTCGTCGCTGACCTCATCGAACGCTTGCGACTTCACTGGTCTGAGTTCGTTGGCTCGTCTACGTCCAATCGGGGCGAAGAAATCAGCAATGCTGACAGGATCGCTGGGATCATGGGAAGGCAGAGCTTCAGCAACGCATGTCTGTGCTGTTCCGCAGGACATCGAGCAAACCAGTCGGTACGCCACAAGCTTTCAACGGAGATGTGTAAACAATGCAGCCTGATTCCGTAAATCCGTCTCAGACATATCCAGCCAGCCACCCGCAGTGTTCACAGGGTGCAGCTGCAAAGAGTCGGTCAAGGAATACTAGGAGGCTTGGTACTCAACATTCCGGAAGAGCAGGCTGAGTGCTTAAAACACCTGAGGCAAACACTTCAAAGACGGCAGCGTGTCGGGCCTTCCCAAGCTGTCGGCACCGGGATGGGTTGGGACTGCTCCGTGTCCATAAACGTCATGGCGGTATCGTCTGTATAGTTTCCACAATCATGAATCCTGAATGCTTGCTACTTATTCAACTTCACCTTCCTGTGAGCCTTCCCCTCGAACCGAAGCATCGTTTGCATGTGCCGGAGCTATGCCTTCCTGGCAGATCGCACGAAAAGCTTACTAACACTCTTTGGCAAAGAAAACAGGGCATCCATGATCTGTTGCTTGAAGCTGGAAGCCTTTGTGTGCTGCGAGGCCGTGGGCGAAGCAACGCGTGCGATGCGAAGCTCCCGGGCTTACCAGAAGTGAGGAGGTCAGGCACAAGCCAGCGCAGGATGTGCGAAAGCAGCCGCGTTTTAACATATTGGCGGATGTACTTCTTGCGCATAGCTTTGCGCTTGGCACAAGCTCAGGGCTTTGCAGCGTTGCAATCTAGCCACGTCAGAAAACTGTTACAAGGGGCGATTCTTTCAAGCCACTTCCTTGCGACCAGTTCCAAACTTATGGGGATTCGTCTTTCGTCGTGAGTTTCAGTTTGCAGGGAGAACTTGGTAGAACTTACCTCTTGTACCTCAGAAGTTCAATTTATGTTCTTGTACCTCAGAAGTTCAATTTATGTGGAGGCCTGCCTATCCTGCTGCAGAGTTAGAGCTTTGTTTTTTTGCATTCCAAGCGAAAAGCTGTCTGAGATCTACAAGCGCCCTCGCCGACAAACTCCTGAAGTGCTCAGGGAGTACGGCGTCTTCAAAGTTTCAACTTCCGTTCAGGGTGAAAAGCCCTTTACATCCCTTTACCCTGTCTGCAAGATGCGGATCCACAGATCGTTTTCGCAAGGATAGAAAACATTGCGTCCATGCCAGGTAGGAGCTTGCCCGCCAAGCCCCTAGCTTTTAGCTTGCAAACGCTGCAGCTGCCACAGTTCCCGCAAAACGGCACCTTCTACGACGTGGAGCTTGCTGGTATCGGCTTCGATGGGAGGGACCGGCCTTTTCTTGACTTGCAGCCAGACCATGTAGAGTTCGTTGCGAAGTACATGCGGAGCTTGCCGCAGGAGTACATTAGAATTGTGGACGACTATACGCGCTGCGGAAGCCGGTTTTCAGACGAAAGCAGCGGCTGGGCTGCATCGAAGCGACTCTGTCCAGGCTCCAGCTAGACTGGATGCGGCAGCTCTGTGCAGTGCAACTGCGAGAATGGCTCGAGGCCTTGATGTCTCCGGCCTGCTGCCGAACCAAGCAAGCCAAGTCGTGAACATGGGCCGGGGAATCAGGCACCAGGGTCTTGCGCAGTGGAGCAGGGTGGCTTTCTGGGCGATGCGGCGCAGGTGGAGAAACATCAAGTTCCTCAGGCAAGGAGCCACGGGGCGCATGCGCTGAATGCAGACTTTGTGTGCCCATGACTCTCATTAATTCTCACAGGGGCGAAAGGATAAGCTTGAGTAGTACGTAGAAGCGAACTGGTGCTATCCACGGCTTCCACGACAGCAAGATCCTGGGCCCTCAGTAACAGCTTCAGAGTGCGTTGCATGACATGTTGCGAACACATGGCCCTCCGTCCAGTGTAGCCAAGGCAATGTACTGATATATTCAACTGTGATGACTGGACATATTCAACCATTAGCTAGGAAGGCTACAGATCTTAAGACCTAGGCAGGGAGTCATGCAAACTTCAGTAGTCGGTGTGGCCACGTCCCAGGCCGGCAGCGTACAGAGTCTGCTACTGCTACTGTGGTGTGGACCTCAGCACCACACACAGCATATGCTGATGGGGTCGAAAGGTTTGCTAGAAGAGCTGTCATGATGCAGAGGTAGTATTTGCACAGTCGTCACAGAACTAGGCGTGCTTCAGGGTGGAGCTTATTCAGCTCTGAACAGCGCATGGTGCTCTATCTAATGCAAGAATCCATTGATCTTCCAGGTCAGGGCAAAAACCTTGGACAATGTTGCCAACTCGGCGAGGAGAATTCGGATGCCAAACCTTTGAGACACTGTTGAATGGCCACGACATGCAGCGCTAGCATGTCCTCATGGAGAGACTTCAAGGTTTGCCGAGCCTGTTCTTTGTGCTGCTTCACTTCTGTGCTCGGTCGCCAACCCGTATTGTGCAGATTGCATTGAGCGGGGCTTGAACGCTTCGGGTCATGGCACACTGGAAGAGGACTTTTACACCGACATCGCCACCATCTTTGTCGCCGGAAGCTCGCATTGGAGATCTGGAGCTTCGTTGAGACTTCGCAGTTCGTTGCGCCTGTAAAGTAGGGCTAAATTTGGATCGTTTCTGCAAAGCGCACATCGGGCTTTGGTGGGATGGTGAAACTCCAAAACTGCTTGCAGCTTCGATTGCTTCAGTTAAATTCAGGGTATTTGGCTGACATCGGGCATAGAAATCATGAGGCAATTCCGCGGCAAGCTGGGACGGAGCCTGTGCCGGGTGCTCATCTGTCGTTTGTTCTCAAAGGTCAGGTAGCAGATTGTCAGAATTAGCGAGTGGTCTGCAAACCCATCAGCAGAGATCGTTGAATGCCCAGAGATCTCCGATCGTCCGTAGAATGTTGGCCATTTCAAAGCGGAGCTTCTGAACACCTGCGCTGCATCGGTAAGTAGAAGTGGCGGCCATGCTCTGTCCCAAATCTCCTCGACTCAGTTGCAGGACAGACAGGTTCTTTGGCTTGATCCACACATCCTTAACCTGTGAGACTCTTGTCTCACTTGACTCATTTGCACATTGGGCAGTGCTGGATCGCAGTGCAGATGTGCAGATGCAGCACTGCCAACTGGGCAGTGGCTTAGCGAAGGCTGACCGTAATTAACCTCTCCAGAATCATATGCCAGTAAAGGTGCGCCAGCCATGCCAAACGTGTATCTCAAGTCAACTCGCCAGATTTCCCGTACCTTGAAGATTCATCCGAATTTGCATCATCTTCGTAAGATCTCTTGCACGTTAAGATGGATCAAGAACATGCAGGAAGTCGGCCATTTGAACGTCGGTGCCCGTACGATTCTTGATACTGCCGTCCCATCCCCCATCCCGTTGGCCCATCCCGTCCGAAGGCTCCAGGCTCCGATGGTGGTGCCCGACATGCGTCCGTGGCCACCTTGGTCTTGGGATGTCTTGGGCATCCCTGGGCTTCTGTTCCAGCATGGACGATCTTGCGTTGCCAGAAACGCCGCATTTTACATGATCTCGTCAAATGTCGGTGCGTAGATCTGAAGCCTTTTGCGGAAGTCGGCGAGATTTCGTTCGAACATGTTCGAACTGTTTGAGTGGATTGTTTCTAGCTAGAGTGGCTAGCTGCAGCAGAGGCACTCAAAGTGCCGCAGTTAGCCCGAGACCAGGATGCATCCTCCTCCTGGTCTGTGGGGTGTTTTCCCGAAGGACGGGCAGACAGTTCGTGTGCCTGGGTACCTCTGGATATCTTTCCTTCCTGAGACAAGGCGGTCACCCACAGCTTGTAGCCTTGCCAGCTGATTTGCCAACACAGCCCTGACTGTGCCTAATGATGGGTCTCTCGCAGCTCAGCTTCCGTTTTGCACCTTTCAGCAGGATATTACGCCAGAATCTCAGCACTAGCTGAGAACGGTTGCAGCTGCGAGCAGTTCAGTGTGCAGGTGGCTGTAGAAGGCGTTGCGAACGCGTTGAGCGCTTGCGTCTTCGTCGTGCCTGCAAGGCAGCCTGCCAATGCACTCAGGCGGACGATCCGCATTCGAGCCCAAACTCGAGGAAGCCCCGCCCATGCCGGGTCGGTCGGGCCGATCGAGGCGCAGCATCTCAGTTGGGCACCCGCCAAGCTTACACAAAGCTTTGTCCAGGTGAAGATCTTCCAAGTTTGGCCATCGCCAGCGGCTCAAGGCAAATCCCAGACACCTCGATCCCAGAAACTCTGACGCCTCAGCGACTGATGGACTGAGCCTGACATGCGCTTGATCGCTGCACAGGGTGCGCTCAGAGTGCGCTAGATTAGATTGTTGGATTGTCCTATCGAGACTCACTCCTACTTCGGCAGCGAACCCGGTGACTCTTAAGATCTCTGAAGCGTTTGACCCAGCTTTGAGTTTCATTTCTAAGGATGACAATCCTCGCGACCTTCCAACTGACGGATTTGGTCACAGGGCAGCTTCAAGGCTTCGAGAAGGTGCGACACTCAAGTCAGCAGTTTCTCTCCAGGTGTTTCGCCGAGAAGGGTTCTTGCTAGACTGGTTTCGACGGATTTTGAGCCTCTGCGCTCCCTGTTTCTGGGATGCTTCTCGGAGATTGAGCCGCGTCTCGGAGGCGGCCCAAAACGCAAGCTGCGTAATTTGGCGTTGTGGCCGTCTCGTTTGTCCGTTGCCAGCCCGTTCTTCTGGACGTGGACGGCAACCCCCATGGCATCGAGGTGGTGAGCCATTCGCTCTGGCCTTGGCACATCTAATTACGTGCAAGAGAGGAAAGTTGAAGTTCTAGCGACGCAGAGGCAGAGTAGGCCTATGTAGGCCTACCAGTCCCCTGGGATGTACTACTGTCAGGATGGATGCCTGGTACCCGGAATGGATCGAAGTGGACATCGAAGGTGCTCTGCCCGTAGAGCCGAGTAAGAAAAGGTTCTGACAGCTGTAGTCCATAAGGAGCGCCTTTCGCAACGGATGCAACGGCAGTATTGAGCCGGAGAATCCCAAACGGCCTTGTGCAGGAATCGGCTCGCACCGCTTTCAGATGGAAGGTTGGACCGTCTGGCACCTGGTTCGTCTCGGAGAACTGTCCGGTCACGCAATCTCAGCACGAGAGTGGGGCGCCAGTGACAGATAGTGACAGTAGAGTCTCGAGGCCTCGCCGGCAGATCGCCAGGCGATGACATGCGATGCTTTTGGTTGAGATTCTCCTGCACTCAGTCCGGGCAGGAGAGGGGTAGATGCAACCGTGGTGTAGGGCTGAGGGCTGAGTAAGGCAAACATCTCTTTGTGCAAGCCCTGTCGCACCCCATTCGGCACGATGCCAAGATTTCTTACGGCGCTTGGAAGGTCCGCTACGTCACACAGGGACTGCAGCCTCCGCCCATGCTTCCGACGATGCTGCCGGCTCCGAACGCCCTCGAGGGTTCAGGGGTGGATCTTGACTTGATAGCTGCCAGAGCCCTTGCTGGTTAGGGTCCGATTCTGTGAGGGTTCCCGATGATTTGCAGTAAGTATGCGTTTCTCCCAATTGTTAACCCCTCCGCCCAAGTAGCCAGCAGCCTTGCAGTCCCTGGCACCCTGCATCCCTGCGCCTCTTGTAGCTTGCAGTCCTATCCGGTGGCACCGGTGCCTGAGTCCTAGAAAGCTTTAAGAAGGGGAAGGTTTGGGAAAGGAGCTCAACTCGAGACTCGATCTTGAAATCACAGGGCTTCGGATGCGGTGCAACTTCCTAGCCGCTTGGTTAACTCAGAAACCCCAAGCTATTTTTCGGTGGAGGATTAGTATCGGGGGCGTTTGCTGGCATCTCTTTCTGTGAAAATGTCATAGTCAGGAAGTACGACGCATGCATGCTTTTGATGAAGCTTGTAGGCCTAGGATTCCATGCTGATTCAAGAGGATGAGGGGTGTTTTCTTGAATGGGCTTGTGACGGGCTGTGCAGGTGGAGCTCTGGGAATCGCATGCATTCGTCCTCGACGCCTGTGGTGGATGTCGGCCGGGCTTCCAGTGCACGGAGGCAGGGTCTCAGGCATCCGTGGGGAAGTGCGCAAGGCCCTTTAGCTGAACTTGAACCTTGAACGAGCAGTTCGCGGCAAGCTTTAACGCCAGTGTCCGTAGGGCCGTAGGGTTGGTTCAATCCTTGCCTAGTCTCGCCACACTTTCGATCTCGACTGAGCCCACCATTGTTCAGATGCTGGGGAAGGCTCTACTCTACTAACGGCCGACTCTTCGGAGACCAAGCCCACAACTGCTCCCCAATCGCAGGAAGAAGCTTCAATGGTCGAGCGACTGCAAAGAGAGGCTTGGCCCCACTCGATGTCTGATTGAACTCCCAGCAGGCCGACCAGTCATGAGATCATGCCGATCACTGGACTTTGATTTGTGCACGTGGCCTCCACAACACACGAAGCCATCCACGGAAGGTGACACGATTGTAGAGGTTTAAGCAAGACCGGTTTCGCATATGCCGCAGAGCCGTAGAGTCAAGTTGACACCAGCGGCACGTTGACTCTTCAAGAGTTTGGCAATTGAGCCCTGCTCGAGCTGGCAGTCATTGCTGGGCCTGATCTGGGATGAGGATGGTGCCAGTCGCGATCTTAAAAAGGGACAGGTCAGGATTCTGGGCTTGGGCACTCCGGGCTTTCATGTTGCATGTTACCCAGGTGATCCTGAGGCTGCCCGCCTGGCCGTCTACCTTGCAAGGTCGCCAGGGCAACTCCAGCCTCTAGAAGTCTACGTAGAATACTCCAGAGTTTCGTTTGCGGCAGGCGGTGTTTTTGGTTCATGTGACACTTTGCGATGCTGTGCATGTGTCTGAAGATCAAGTCCCCATACATGCAGAGTGGCATTGGCGGATCCAGCGTGCAGTCATCTCATCGCAGGTGCCGGCCGGTTTGTGGTGACGGCCAGGTGCAAGCCCATTTGTGTTGTTCCAGAGCTTGCGCGCGAGTTTGGCAGTAGCCCTGGCCTGCCCCCCTGGCCCTGCATTGAAGCGCGTTTCTGCAGTGGAAGCCGCAAGCTTTTCTCTCGAGGCACAGCCGGGTGAACAGTGCGACGACGGCAACCTGCGAAGTCTCGATGGCTGCAGCGGTCGCTGCCAGGCTAGAAACCCCAGCAACAAGTGCTGGTAGCAGGATCTCAGGAAAATACTACGACGTTGGGATGTTCTGCGAGCCTAGGCAGTTTCATGCGCCAGGACTGCTTCCTCCCTGCATCAGCCGGCTGTACGACTCATTTGCATGCGTTTAGAACTAGAACAGAAAGAACGACGGCTTTCGAGCATCTCATGGCATGAACCCAATAATGCTTTCCTCCCCAAGTAAGCTTCCTTTTTTTCATGGTACCCGTGCGACACTGAGGTGGAATCCGGCTTCGAGTGCGCCAATTTCGGTGATGCTCCCAGCAGCTGTTGGCCGAGGCTGGTGTGTTGGATGTGGTGGTCCTGGTCTCAAGATCAGTGTCCCATGACTTGTGTGACCTGTGGTCACCTTGGTGCATTTTCACCAAAAGCCGAATGCTGCGTCAGTGTATAATGCCACAACTCCGAAGCCAGAGAAGATGCGGGACACTGCTGCTGCTGCTGCTGCTGC